AAAAAGGAGACTTGCGCAACTTACTTTGACCCATTTCAGAGCCCAGATCTGATCCCACAATCCTATGTTACCAGGAAGTATCTTATCACCAGTGGAGAGAAAACCTAGAGTTATGAGGTTTGTCTGTATGAAATAAATCCCCTAATAGAGCTTGTACTGAAGCTAATCTACAATGTGATGTTGGATACTGCGATGAAAATTTGTAATCGTAATTGACAGACTCACCTAATGGACCTAGCCGGTAGTTAAATGTAACGAAGATAATCTTGCGCGACACAAAGTTATCAAGAATCGCCTGTTGAGGATAATCGCTTCCTCCACCAGATTGGAAATCTCCTCCATGTATGAATACAATGACGGGATAAGTATCATTTGTGTATTGATACTGAAAATAGGTGATCAGAAGAAGGTATGGGAAGGGGAGAGGGGAGAGAGATAAAGCGTTCACAAAATATATTTCTTAAGCAGCGTAGGAAGTAGGAAAAAGGCAGGAAACGGGAATGATTACGAAAAAGTTTGAGCTATCGAGACATTAAACTAAATGATGATCCCTTAGATTGCTAACAGTTGAAAAATTACACACAATCGAAGGCAACAGCCATTATACAAGGAAAGTGAGTAGATCAAATGATAACAGGGATCAACCTAGGAGGTCTCTTTGAAAAAAATTCCCGTAACTGCCGCCTAAGAGGTAGCATTCTTCCTAGCGACACATGCTTTTTTTATTTTTCAAAAAAAAAGCTTGAAGCAGAGTTTTTGTAGCACATTATCGATTCCACAGAAAAGAAACGTTGCTAATGCTAAGCTTGCCGAGGAAGTGGAATGATCTATTGAGAATTCTCATAAGAAACAGCTAGAGTTCTTGAAAAAAGAGCCCTTTAGGGAATGAAGGAAAACGAGGTGACCAAAGCGAGATAAAGTGGTGAACAAGGACAACAAAGTAGAAGATACTTACAGGAGTAGGTGAGAATACATTTAGATAGAGGCAGTCTTCAGAAAAATGAGCCGTATGCCTTTCTGGATCAGTGGCGAGCGAATCCATCCGCTGTACACATAGTGCACTAAATTGAGTAGCGTTCATCACACCTCGCCACTTAGCCGGCTCTTTTGGCATCTATAAATAGATCACTAATTTGAAAATCTCTGAAAATTGGTGCAGAGACATGCAATGCTTTTGGCTTAGTAACAAGCTGCAATAATGTGAAAAAAGAAATTTAAGGCATGCTTGTTGTCCAGCTCACCTGAAAACGTAGATATCCTACAGGGGGCATTGCATAAGGAATACCTTTGAACACAGTATAATCTTCTCCTTTGATTATCTAGAGCAGAAAAATCTATTTTAACCACGAAATGAACATTGTAAACAGCAT